GGTTTAGGGTTTAGGGTCCTTTTGATCTTCGGGCCTTAGACACAAGCAAATCTCACTTGCCAGGCCTACGGTTACCGGCGCCTGTCGGAGAACGAAGCCAAGGGACGACTGGCCATGGGCGATGATGAGGGTGCCTAAGGGCGCAAAGGTTTGGGTCTAGGGTAACTTAGGGTGGTTTTAGGGGATTCGTAGTTGTGGTGGTGGTTGTTGTAGTAGTAGTAGTAGTAGTAGGAGGAGGATTTAGGAGTACTGTGGGCGCTTGATAGGGTTGGGTGCTCGACGCTGGGTTTAGGATGTAGGGTTTCGGGCCCCTAAAGCGCTCAGCTTTGATTGATTTTTGTTTCGCAATCATGGCGTTGCTGTTCTTATACCTCGGCCGGTGCAGGTGAGTCGCATGCCAAGGTTTGCTAATGCTTGGGAATGGACTCTTTGGTGCAAGAAGCTCTGCAAAGAAACCCACAAATTTACGGACATCGGGGCTAAGCTTTGCCAAACTTTGGATAGTGGTGCCTGCAGATGCCAACCGTGTGCTGCACCTCGCCTTCCGCGGGAAGCACCTTAGATGGAAGTTGGGGCGGCCATCTTCGGGATTTTGGTTTGGGGGGTTTCTGCAGTCGCAAACCTCATCTTTGTGAAATTCCAGGACCAGTGTATTTTTAGACTATCCCCCTTAAGCCCAACGCCGACATGCTAAGCCCGAAGGGCCCACCCGTTAGGCCACAGCGAAGCTCACGTGCGTGAATGGCTGCTTGAAGGAGTTGTATACGCGACACTTTAACACAGAATACGTCCAAAAGTTGGAAACCCAATAGCCTCAATCCTTAAAAGCCAAAGTAATGTATAGCGAATCCCAGCACTAGTTTTTCTTTATAAACCGGGTTCCAACTTCTTGGGGGTTTCCTGTAGCATTTCCACAAGGCTCAACCATGGGCCCTTCGCCTCGGCGAAGTTGTTTTGGGTTCTTGTTAAACGGGGATTTTATTAAAGTTACCATAAATAAAGGGGTTCAGGGTTTAGGATTTAGGGTTTAGGGTTTAGGGGGTTTTAGTTTAAGATACCATAATAGGGATCTGTGGTAAATAACATGGTTTCTTTATTATGGATCCCCTGACAAGAACCCAGCTGTTATCGGTAGGTTCGGGCTTTGTGGTTGGGGCCAGGGGAAATACATGCAAACGTGAGCGAGCGAGCTTTTGCTACCCTAAACCCTAAACCCTGAACCCTAAGCCCTGAACCTTGCGTTTACAACTCAGAGCCCTCGAAAAGCTCTGAGGCAGCTGGTGGGCTGCTGCTCCTCCACTCTTCAGCCTCCCTGGACCCCCAGGCCACCACATAGGGGTTTAGGGGTTTAGGGTTTAGGGGTACCACTAAGAAGGACTTCGGAGTTGAGGAGTAGAAGGTTGGAGACTTCGGCTTGAGGGTCTGCGGCTTAAGGTCTCAGCTGCGGTGCTTAAGTAGCTGTCGTAAACAAACACGAGATCCCATGTTTGTTTCTGAGTTCCCACATCCCTGAAGGCCTAAACTGCCCTTACACCCTAAAGCCCTCAACCCCTTAACTTCAAGCCGTAAGCCCTAAAGCCCTAAAACCTAAACCCCTAAACCTTAAACCCCTAAACCTTAAACCTCAAACCCTAAAACCCCTAAACCCTAAACCCTATACCCCTAAATCCCTAAACCCCAAAACCCCCTTAAATGGCTATAGAGCCAGGCCCTAAAACCTCCGAACGCCTGGCAGGTCCTGCGGCCACTGGGGGCTTTTGTCCGTGCTTCCGGAGGCCCAGGGCACTGGCGTCGCCTCGGACGCTCGGACGAACCGTAGCAGCCGTAGCAGCTGAAAGGGTCGTTTTTGAGGGTCTACAGGGTTCTATGGGGTTTCATAGGGTTTTTGTTGAGGGTGCCATAGAGTTTTTTTTAATCATAGGGTTCAATGATGGGATTTGGAGGGTTTGGGGCCTGGGGTCTACATTTTCAGGGTTGGGGGGGCTGTATCTCTGAGGGCTTCAGGGCCTGAGAATTCGGTTCAGGATTGGAGGCTTTTGTCTCAGAGTATGGTCGAGGGTCGGGCAACCGAATCCTACGCCGAACTTTAGAAATTCGTGCTCCAGAGAGGCGTTGCCCCTTAAACCTCAAGCCGCCTATAAACCATCTAAACCCTAAACCCCCCATGTGCCCGAAATGTTCCAGACGAGGCGCTGATCGCTGCGGCTGAGCGCCGCCTCTTCGAATCGGGCTGCTGCGACTTGGCCCCATCATACTTGGAGGATCAAGGGACCTGGGAAGTAGGGCCATAATTCGGCCAACCATCGTTATAACTACTTATGGCTCCGGGTACTTGTAAGCGTATTTACCAAGTCCCATGATCCTCCATGAATGTGAGGTTCTGATGGGGTTTGTATGTTATATATGTATATAGGTTCTTCGCACTCTATGGAGCTTGTTCGCAGGGGTTGTATAGCTTGATAGGGTGTTGTACGGGGTTTCATCTAGGGATGGAATTGCAGGATACTGTTGATCATATAAATCCTGCATGACCTTGAGGACCCTAAACTATGGGAATTATGGCATATTCCTTATTTTGGGTAATGCAGGATGTATATCATCAGCTGTCTTAGGGTAGAAGTACCTCGGGCTGGGGGCTTGGGTCAGCGAGGGCGGCTTTCTTTCAAGAAGCAGCCCGAGGTGCCGTGCAGATCGAGTACGAATACACTGCCGGCGATGAGAGCTCCGTGCGGCTACTGAAATGGTACGAGGCGCCAGATCTGGAGGTATCTGGAAAATACTAGGAGTTGGGCCGTGTATCTTATTCAGCGGTCGTTTGCAAGACGGGTCCTATTTTGAAAGGGCCTCCAGTATAGTCTTCTTCTTGGTTCCACATGCGGTGGGAGACATCTCGGAGTGATAGACGTTTGGCGCAGTGCTTGCGTTTTCGATGGGTCTTCGAGGGTCTTTTTTTTTTCGGGGCGTCGGTGCTAGGTATTTAGCCTGAATCCTGAACAGCCAAAATTTGGCTGTTCAGGATTCAGGCTTCGAGGTTCGGGGAGTGTAGAGTTGAAAGCAAGTCAGGGGATCACCTGCATAGTATATAATAGCTCTGTCACAAGACCTCTGAGCCCCGGAAAACGTCAACCCTGAACCCTTTCCTCGCAGAGCCAATCAAGCCCAACATACCTTAAGTCTACCCCTAGACCAAGCCCACCTCATGACCTCAACCCTCAAACCCTACCCATTGGCTCCATAGTAGTTCCTTTCTGGGATTACCTAAGACGATCCTAGAACTACTGTTGAGCCTATGGGTAGACCTCAAACTCGTCAGGGCCGCTGCGGCTTCCGAGGCGCTTGAGGGGGGGGGTTTTGGTGGTGAGTTTGACTCGAGAGGAAGCTTTGGAACTTGGGGTCTAAGACAGGGGCTTGGGCATTGCCAGAAGGGTTGATATAAGAGATGCTATAATACGGTTGATGATTCCTTAAGGTCATGCAGGGTTTATATCATCAACAGTACTATAAGGGGTACTGTTACTATAGGATTTACGAACCTGCAACACGGAAGCTGGAGATCTTCAAGCCAGCATGCCCAGACCCAACATTCCAAAACTCCACGCCTCAAGGCAAGAAGCCCCTTAAAGCCCCCAACCTCAAGCGAATCCTGCGAGGGTTCCTCCCCCCCTATACTATTTCTACAATATGCTACCAGGCCTTTCTTCTAGTTGTTAAGGCTCCTGCATCTTGGAGATGCTGAAACCTCGAAGCCCTCCGTCGGAGAGTCGGCATCCACCCTCCACAAGTTCGAACCCTAAACACTGATCCCTAAAAAAGCCCTAAACCCTAAAGCCTAAGCCCGGATACAAAGTCTCATCGCAGCCTCCTCGCCGCCGCCGCGGCGGGGATCGGAGTTCCGATGCTGCCCGGGGCCTTGGCGGGGTTAGGGATTTTCAGGTTCAAGGGTTGCGGTTTCAGGGATCATGATTTCGGTCGAGAGTTCAGGGTCGGAGGGGTTCCAAGCGGTTTTGGGAACTTAGTGCCTACCCATAGGCTCCATAGTAGTTCCTTTTTGTGGTGCTTATTTGGGATCCTACAAGGTAATCCCCAAAAAGGAACTACTATGGAGCCTATGGGTAAACCATAAACCCTAAACCCTAAACCCTAGACTCCTCAACCCTAAACCCCAAACCCTAAACCCTAAACCACTATGGAGCCTATGCTTAGGGTTGAAGGCATCATGCTAAGGACTTGAGACTTAGGGAGGCGTGGATTTGGGTTGCGGTTTTCGCTTCGTCTTGAGGCCCTGGGGCATGCAGGTTGGGGGGGGGGCCTTGGGGTGTCTATGGCTGTAGGGCTTATGAGAGCTTCGGGGGCTTTGGGGTCCATATAAGGGCCCTGGGGCTTTGGGGATTCACAGGAGCTTTGGCTTCCGGAGCTGCTTTGGCGGCTGAGTCAGAGATTTTCATGCCCAACCCGTATCCACGCCCGTAGGGTTTAGGGTTTCGGGTTTAGGGCCTCGACCCCAAAACGCAAACCCTGAAGCCGAACCCCACAGCCCAAAGCCCAAGCCTTCAAACCCTTCACCCCCAAGCTTCAAGGCCCAATCTCCGAAGCCTAAACGCTCGGCCCTTCATCACTCCGGCCTGAGGCCGCAAGAAGTTGACCCCAGAGACAGTCTACACTCCAGGAGACCGGGCTGGAGGCATTTAGGGGTTTAGGGTTTAGGGGTTTAGGGTTTAGGGGTTAGGGCCATCTTCTTCTGGATTGATTGGGGAGGGGGTGGTCTTATGCTTTTTTTTGCCTTGGGGCGGTTTGTATGTAGTGCAGAAATTTTGCATATTGGGGATCCTTGTATGGTCCGTAGTTTGTGGATAAGCATTCGGTTGCTTGGGGTCTAAATTGGGGCTGAGGGCTGGGCGGCGCTTATGCTGTTCTCCCTTTCTTAGTAGGTGCCTCCAAAGTCCAGCCTGAGGGGTCTACGCTGCCTTGATCAGCAGGGGCATGCCGATTTCGAATTGCAAGCTCATGATGCACTCCAAGCTCGGTTGGAGCTTCATGCTTCCTTTGTTCAGCTTGCGGAGTGAGGTCTCGGTCTGGGGCCCCGAGCGCATCATAGATTAATGTAGCGTAGCATTGACATATAGGAACTGGTGGTTGTGCCATGACGTCATAGACTGTGACGTACTGCGTCGTGCCATCGTGCACTTGTATAGTGTCTATGCGCGAGATAAGTTTGCCAAAAAGTCCTCGCCGACGGAGGCGACAGCGCTGTCGATTCAGTCGTGACGGACTCCAGCAAAAAGCCGGCGGAGAAACTGGCAGAGCCCAGCACTCAGAGGCCACAACCCTAGGCCCCTAAACTGTAACCTCCCAACCCTAAAAACCTAAAATCCCAAACCCTAAACCCTAAATTCTAAAGCGCTAAAGCCCTACCGCGCAATCCTCAGGCCCTCCTCGGAGCAGTCCGAGGATGAGAGCAGTCCCTTGGACTACCTCCCGGTGACGACCTCCGAGGAGGCGCCTTTTAGGGTTTTTAGGGGGTTTAGGGGGTTTAGGGGGTTTAGGGTTTAGGGGGTTTAGGGGGTTTAGAGTCTAGGAGGTTTAGAGTTTAGGGGGTTTAGGGGGTTTAGGGTTTAGGGTGTTTAGGGGGTTTAGGGCTTAGGGGGATTAGGCTTTAGGGGGTTTAGGGTTTAGGGGGTTTAGGGCTTAGGGGGTTTAGGGTTTAGGGGAGTTTAGGGTTTCACCTTGGGTCTAGGGTTTAGGCATTTGGGGTTCTAGGGATGCTGGGTTTAGGGATGTAGAATTAGGGTTTTGGGGTTGAGGTTCATGGTTGGGATTCAGGGTTTAGGGTTTCAGGCTTTCAGGGCAACCTTTAGTTGGGGGCTGAAGGTCTTAGGGTTTGAGGCTGCAGCAGGGGCTAGGGACTTTATCCGGGAGCTCAACTTGCAGCAACCGAGAATGAATAGCCCGCAGAGTTTAGGAAGAACAACTACATGCACCTCAGGGTCTCACCTCAACAATTAAATTAAGTGTTAGACTCCTTTGTCGTTATTTATTATATACTTCCGTGCTCTTGCAATGGCTTTCGGTGGGAAGCTCGAGCCCGTCTGGACCTTGCAGCTCCGAGTGCCAGGAAGAGGAACGTGAGCGGCCAGCTGCCAAGGTTTGCCGAGTGCTCTGATGCCTAGGGGTCAGGGTTTTTTGTGGGACTATAAAAACCTGCCATAAAAGATCATGGTAGCAATAATTACAAGCAAGAGCTTCCAGGCAAGCCGGAGATTCTAGTTCTCTCGATCTCGAATATGCTATAAGACTTCAGCGCAAGAGGCTGCAGATTGTCGTCGGCATCGCCTAGACATGAAAGATGTAGGTGCCAAAATGATTCGTTTTGTTTTCGATGTCCGGCATATTCGCATCCATCCGGTCCATGGGCTCGTTTGATGCTTCCGTGACGTTCTAGGACCCATGCTCGCTTTCAGGGCTAGGGATGTCTTCCTTGGAATTCATGCAAAGCGGACCCATAGGCTCCATAGTAGTTCCTTTTTGGGATTACCTTATAGGATCCTAAAAATATGAACCACAAAAAGGAACTACTGTGGAGCCTATGGGGAGGTCCCAAGGCCCGGGCCTCCACCGAAGCGTCGCCGGCACGTCGCCGGCGCCGCTGCGTAGCCTCCGAACCCGTCCCGCGGGTCCCGGCCTGCAGGGCCGGGTTCGGACTCCGTTTTCCCGCTGTTCTCTTCTTCACCATCAGGGTCGGAAGGTGAATGGTTCTTACCAGGATAACAGCGACTAGAAGCAAGAGGAGTGATAATGCACTGGGAACAAGACTAGTATCAAGGATCTTATGATACCCAGTAATCTTTCACGGTGATTGAGAGTGCTGCTGAGGGCACTGGTTCTTGTCTCCGATGACGTGTCCCTGTACATAAACTGGTTGATCCGCGCATCGTGGGACAAAATCGAAGGGCCTACATGCTTTCTGTAAATACTGTTTCTCCGCATGGAGCACGGCTCGTACTGATCTGCAAACTGACCTGGTGGTATTGGCGTGTGTGGTCACGAGTTTTTGAAGCCGCTCTGCATTGACTCTCATGGAATTGTCCAGTCTGTCTCAAGGGACTGCCTTTCACCCGGCATCTGCAGTCCTCGTAGCGGAAGCGGAAGAATGCATGGCCACCTCCGATCGTTGCTGGGAAGAAGCTTGCTGCAGCAATTGGAAAGCCGTGCAAGGCAGGCACAGGGGAAGGCAAACCTCTGGCACACCAGTCCTGGTGATCTTGTCCAGTTCACTGGTCATCGAGCGTACATGGCAGCATCTTTGTTAAGACAGAGTCACTCCAGGCCCCATCAGGTACCTTTTGCACAGCGTGAGCGGGCCATGTTGCGGCCTGCTGAGACGTACACCTCGGCCACGGGTCGGAGCAGGAGCAAAACAAAGAAGAAGCTGTACTTTATCGCTACGCCGACAGATCCTAGGCGAGACAAGTCTCCTCAAAGAGACCCGAAACTGTCTCTTCGGCGAGCTGAGATGAAGAACTGCACAAGACCAGACGCCTTGCTAAGACGCTTATCGGATGCAATTGATGCGAATGAAGCAGATGGTAGTGTGATCGGTGCCGCCATGCAGACTTGTGGCCACAGGTACTGGTGGGAAACACTCATGCAGGTGAATGACAGGGCTGTTGAGCATGATGTTGAGTTCGATGCGATTTTGCGGAGAATCTTCATCAATGCTTTGGCCGCTTGCTTGAAGCACTCTCAGTGCAGCGCGTCGGAGCTCTCTGCACGCAAGGATCGAGCCTTGAGATTGAGCAAGAATGCTTGGCACCAGATGCCTGTGCCATCCTCCGAGCTGGACTTCAACAATTCTCTGAGTGTTGTTTGGAGAGTCTGTGCAGAGATCGGTGAAGGGGCATTGCCCTGGGCAGATGAGATTCTCAAACGGTGCAAGACGCAGAAGTATACTATTAACCTCTTGGCTTATGGACCTTTGCTGGCACTGTTGGAGAAGTGCAAGCGCCATGGTCGAGTGGACCAGCTCATTCACGAAATTTGCAAGAAGCAGCGGCTGTCCTTGAACGGAGTCATCCTGGGCATTCTCCTGGATGCTGCTAGCGGCGACTGGAAACGAGTTGAGAGGCTGTGGGACCGATTGGTCAATCAGCTGCAGGTAAAGCCGAATTTGCTTTGCTACCGAGCTCGGAGCAAAGCACATTACCAAGCTGGTAGACCAGCTGCTGCTGCAAAGATCATAGAAGATGCTGGGGTGGCTGGTTTACCAATCAGAGCCCCGCGCACAGCGGTGATGCTCCTGCAAGCTTGCATCATTCTGTGCCACTCTCATCCTACCCCAGCAAAGACAAGGCGACTGAAATCATCCTTGAAAATCGCAGAGGCTATTGATACAAGCGAAGATGATCCCACACTCGCATCCAAGCTGGCCCGGCTGATCCGGTTGTCGAAGCAGCTACTCTCAAGTTCCTCATCCTTGCGCTTCCACGACCTGCTGGTCTGGAAGTACCGCGGACGGTGTGTAATGGATGATTGGCCAAGTCATCGAGCTGGCTCCAAGTATTTACACGAAGAGTAGCTGAGTAGAGCTGACCCGTTCGAGCTTGCGATGTTCGACCCAGCATGGTTTGGATGTTTGGATCTTTTGTCTTCGGGATGGCCACGATGGGGTTTGTTTGCGCTGCCTTGGGCCCAGCACATGGGGCTTCGGAGTGATAAGGTTCTACGGAAGTTCTACGGCTTTCTTTCGCAAGCTTTCTATAGTATTTCTGGAAATGTGCTGTTCTCGGCAGAGGCGGCTTCGGAGTGATAAGGTTGCCACCCTGAACCTGAAGTGCGAGTCAGGAGGCATCATGGAAGTACTGGTTGTCTTGGTACCAACCTTATCGCAGACCGGGTGAAGCCAGCTGCCCTGTTGAGACCGCAATGTGCTCCAGAGTGCTAGTTAATTCGTCGATTCGTTCCTCGGCAGCAAGCGCGGAATGGGCCTGCATTCACGAATGGAGACCTTCGCTCAATCAAGTCAATCAAGAAAAGTGTCTGGAATTTGCAGCCAGCCTGCACAGTGCCTGTTCAATTATCTTTCACAGCTCCGTAGGCATGCACTCAAATCGAAAGGCAACAAGCATTCTGACCTGTAGCAGCTCAGCCCACACCTTAAGTACACCCCAAGCCTTGAAGCCGCAAGCCTTACCAAGACCGAAAGCCAAAAAATCCTCTTACGTCCCCAACCCAAGCACTCCCAAACTTCAGATGCCTGAATCCCCAGTGGCCGCGCCATGGCGGATGGCGCCGACCTTCGCATCGTCATCCAGAAGATCAGCGGAGAGACGCTGGAGACCACGGCTTGCTCGGAGGACTTTTGGGTTTATAGGGTTTAGGGTTTAAGTTTCAGGGTTTAGGGTTTAGACTTCGGGTTCGGGGATCTGGGTTTCGTGTTTTGGGGTTTGAGTGCAGGGTTTGGGCATGGGAACGATTACATGACGAGCGTTCCGAGTAATACAGGGGCCTAAATAGTTACCTATGCTATTTTGGGGGTTCCATATCATAATTATAGCATCATGGGTCGCAAAGCCCTATTCTAATTATTAAGGCCCCTGCATTATGCAGTCGAATTCCAGAGAGTGCAGGAGCTGACTGAGGATTGAGGGTGGTGCCGGGGACTTTGAACACTATTGCCATTCCCATTCACGGTCGTGCTGGTAGGTTCAGTTTAGCAGTACGGGACTATCCCCATCGATCGGGAATTGATGCAGCGTTTTTTGAGTCTCCACTGGTATTCTTTAAAACCCAATGCGATTGCTGACATTGATTCATCAAGCAGGCCCTGTCAGTATGCATAGTCTGAGCATAAGAACTTTCAGGGCTCTCTCTGGCTGCACGCCTGCGACTTCTCACGACGCTTGGTGGCTTAGTGTATGGGTACTTCTCTAACTTAGGGTCCAATTTAGGGTCCTTTTAAAAGGGTGCCGTATTATATTTGGGATCTAAACAGGAACCCTAAATTGGAGAACTACCCATATCTTGGTATAGCATCAAGCACCTGAGACAACCCGGGATTCCTGTCCGCCTCGGTTTTAGCGCGACCTCTCCGACTTTTTCAATTTTTCGGGCCGTTTAGGGTTTAGGCTTTAGGGCTTATAGGGCTTTTAGGGTTAGGGTTTAGGGTTTAGGGTTTAGGGTATTTCTCTTCTGACCTTATCTTCATCGTGTACCCAGACAGCCCAATAGCCCTTAATTAGGGAATATACTTTAAATCATAATATTAAGGCCCCTATAATTTAAGGCGTATATTCCTCAATTAAGGGGTATTGGGATCTCCGGGAGACCATTCCCTAAACCCTAAACCCTAAACCCTAAACCCTAAACCCCTAAACCCTAAACCCCTAAACCCCTAAACCCCTAAACCCCTAAACCCCTAAACCCCCTTAATTAAGGGGTATTGGGTTCTCTGGGTAAGCGTTTCTCGACGGCCGCAGGACGCGGTGGGGGACCTGAAGAGTCGAATCGCGCGCGAGGTCAACGTCCCAGCACTTTGTCAGAGGCTCCGCGGCCTAGACTTGGGTTTTAGGGCTTATAGGGTTTAGGGTTTTAGGGTTTAGGGTTTAGGGTTTAGGGTTTGGGTTTTAGGGTTTAGGATAGGGTTTAGGGTTTGGGTGTTTAGGGTTTAGGGTTTGGGTTTTAGGGTGTTTAGGGATTAGGGTTTGGGGTGTAGGGTTTAGTGCTTGGGGGTTAGGGTTTAGGGGTGGCATGGGTTCCAAAGTAGTCAGGCAGAGCGACCATATGGGTAGTTCTCTAAACTAGGGGCCCTTTTAGGTCACCACAACAGTACGGCACCCTTATGAAAGGGACCCTAATTTAGAGAACTACCCATATATCTTGTGTACTGGCCTGAGAAGACCTCTTTCTACTGCATGGTGCTTCCCGTCTCAACCCAGCCCCCCCCCCCCGGAGTTGTTCAGTGTCTTCGTGTTTTTGATTTTGTCAACCTGCCAACGCCCTTCCTTTGCTGCCGAGCCTTCACTTAAGCAAGATCTTTATGAGTAGACCGCTATCAAGCAACCCAAATGTTGAGGGAGGAATCACAACATTCAGCCAAGCAGCTCAGGGCGACAGGCTCGAGCTTGCACGATCATTGCGGCTTCGGTGCTCGCTGCGGACTTTGCGTTCGTGTGTTTTCAACCTTGATTTGTTTGAGCATGCTTGCTGCCCACTGGTGCTATAGTCCGATCTTTTTGACTGTTTGTTCCTGTTGCCGCTGCTGCTGCCTCCGTTGCTTTTCTCAGAAATACTGTAGACTCCTCTGTCACCTATGCTGGTCAGAGGCTGGTCCTGCACAGCGTCCCGCAGAAGCTGATCTTCCAGCGCAGCTTGCCCCACTTCTCCAAAGAGCTCGAGAAGCCTCTGGGGGAGATGGAGCCAAGGATGTATTCGGAGGCCTACGGGATTTGAGGGTTCCGTAGCTTTGGGCTTCGTCGTCGTGGGTTAGGCGGTAGGCTGTAGGTGTAGGGACTTGGGGGCCTTGAGGTTTCTGCTTAAGGGCATTTAGAGGCTACGAGAGGTCTTGCCTGAGCATGTTAAGTGCTGCCCTTAGCATGTTAAGTACTGCCAAGTACGCCAGGTGAGAGCTCTTTCTCGACCTCCTGTTTCCTGCTTCAATTGCATCGTGATGCTGGGTGGCACTTTGGAAAACTTTTTAATGTCCCCTTAGGGTTCCTGTCGAGGTACTTATTCCCCCAAACCCGAAACCCCGAAACCCCTAGACCCCTAAACCCTAGACCCCTAAACCCTAAACCCCTAAACCCTAAACCCTAAACCCTCAATAAGTATTTCGCGGGCCCGAAACTACAGCCCAGGATGGTTCTGCAGCTGATGGCGGCCCTGGGCCCGTCCGCCTTCGAGAACTTGGCCCGCTTGGGGATGGAGCCCTGGAACGACGGCGACTGGCGAAGCCAGGTGGCACTTTCCCTACGGCTCCATGTGCCTATGTAGTATATATATCTATATATATATATACACACATACATACACACACACACACTACATATACATGTATGTATGTATATATATATATATTCTTTGGCCCTAAAGTACCCAGACAGGGACTACTTTGCTAAGGATCTACTGCGTGAGTGCATGGAGCCTTTGTGTTTGGGGTTTATACGATTTGACGAGGGTTTGATTGCAAGACACATTTCTTGCCCCTATGGTGTTTCAGCAACATTTCAGTGCGCGCCCTGAACTCAGGAAGTTGCACTTGGAAAGATTGCAACTCGGCTGATTAGATGTTACCTAAACCCCCAAGATTAGATAAATTGATGGCCAAAAATCCTACAAAAGGCTGTTTTCCTAAACCCTAAACCCAAAACTTTCGGGTCTAGGCAGTCGCTTGCGCAGCAAGGATGGAGCCCTCAAGCAATGACTCCGAGCCATAACGCCCTGAAGCCAAACCTCAAAGCCAAGCCCAAGCCAACCAAGAAGCCCAACAAAGAACGCCCTAAACACCCCACACCCAAAACCCCCAAATCAAGCCGACACCCTAAACCCTAAACCCGAAGCCCTAAACCCTAGACCCCGCACCGCAATAAATCCATAAACCCGAAACCCGATAAGCCCTATAAGCCCCAAACCCCAAATCCCTAAACCCCAAAGCCTAGAGCCCTAAAATCCATAAACCTAGAGCGGTCCGAAGCTCTCTCTTTTGCTTGCTCGAGGCATGATGATGACGGGACCGTGGAACCATCTCCGCGCCATGGAGGCATTTGGTCGCTGACTTTGTGTCCTAAACATTAGACCCTGAACTCTAGAACGTAAAGCCTATAGGCTAAACCGAGACACACTTGTGCCCCGATGGAGGGCACGACCAGGCGAGAGCAGTGATGAGCTTTCTCCGGCGGGATCGCCGGATCCAGAACCCAAAGTAAGGTCTCTGTAAGGCTACGTACTACTGTAAGGCTACGTACTACAAGCGTGCTATTTGGGTTCTGTAAAGATTTCTATAACAAGGTCCAAAAAGGGCTCTAGAAGGACCGGGGGTTGTGAATAATTTCGTAACGGTGGTTTTAGAGCCCACTTTGTTCGCAATAAGAGGCGGATTCGTAGTAATCTTGGCACCCGAATTGTAGGACTCATAGTCGCCCCTTATTTATTACTAGATGAATATTGCAGGAACTATGCGATTCGTAAAGGCCAGTCGCAGGGGCACATGAAGCAGGATTTACGTTAATGTAGACAAACTGCTTAAGGCCTTAAGGCTTACAACCCCTACTTTGTAGACCTTTTTTCGTACCGCAATCGGAGCCATCAGTGGAACCAGCGAACCTTGGGAAGCGGGGCTTAGGGCCCCTCTAAGAGATCTCGAGGGGGTACTTTAAGGGGGGTTAGGGTTTCTGGTACCTGCAGGATCTTGGGACTTAGTACGTAAGGTTATAGGTACTTGACTTGGGGTTATGGGCAACTATAACTATAGTAACCTCATTTATATAACCCGGGTTACTAAGTCCCATGGTCCCCGAACGTAAAACACCAAAACCCACATGCTAAAATCTCCAAGCCCCACACCCCACGACCCGCTCCAAG